TATTAAATAAATAAAATAAAATAAGCCATAAGAAGCCCAAAAAACTGTACATAATGTGTTACACATGGAGTTTTTTAATATTATTTACTTAATCTTTATTTATCCAGGTAAACTGTTTGAGGACCACTTTTCATTTACAAACATGACCTGTCATGCACTGAGTGCATTACAAAATATACAAACCTACATATTCAGCCAAAGTAAAGTGATTGTAAATTTTAATCGCAATTAGTTAAAATATGCATTTCCTAATCATTATTGTGCTACAAGGTAGTAAACTAGTCTGAAATTTTTAATACACAAACAGATTTGGCTTAGTATTTGGAAAGAAACCAGACAGTTTAGTCTCTTTTTTGACCTTAATTAATGCATATTAAATACTTATTAATAATTTATAAAGTGTTAACAGATGAATTAATAATTTATCTATAAACTCTTTAAAAGCCATCTATAAGAGGAGCCTTATTGTAAAGTGGTACCTTTTTAAAAACGTTACAAGTGTTTGAACATGTATGACTGGTTAAATGTAAACAACTTAACAAAACAGTGGATTTGTGTAAAGGATGTTGAACAAAGACTGGCCCCTCGATGAATATTGTGGCCCCTTGATGGCCCCTGACTCAGAAAAATCCTAGATCCTCCACTGAACCCATCAAACATAAATGACCTCACTCTGACCTCATAGGACGACCTGATGAGGTCGAAGACGTCGATCTCAGGTGGAGGGTCGTCKCCGCTCGTCAGCAAGGCGTGCGGGTGAGGAATGGGCGGAGACACGGTCTGTTTGTTTACAACGTTGTCCAGGTACCTGCGGTGCAGACGTGACACACTGAGCCTTCACGTCACTGAGTCTGGACCAGATCTGAACCTGGTCTGTTTTCCCACCTGCCCAGGATGGTCATGGCCTCGCCCTCGTCGCTGCAGGACAGCAGAGCTTCCATGTTGTCGTGGAGAACCGTCAGGGCCACCTGGGATCGATGAGGTCATAGGTCAGAGAAGGTTCAGGTTAAACACACCTGTGGGAACCAAACGGCAGCTCCCGTACCTGGAAGGTGACTTTGATCCCCTCGTAGAAGAAGCAGTCGACCAGCAGGACGGCGCTGTCGAACGGCATCACGGACAGGAAGATGGTGAGGAACCAGGACAGGCTGATGGTGGAGATGACGCCCAGCTCCTGCATGTGGTCGTAGAGCTGGGGGAGGAACTCCCGGGTCAGGTCTTCAAACACTCCCTGGTCCACCAGAGCCCCTGCACACAGAGGTCCAGCTAAGACCCGATGCTTACCCRGGTCATGTTATCCTCATCGTATTACAGATGTAAAAACCATTTACTAATAGTGTTTTAGTTTGAAGGTCAGTCTTATTTCTTTGTGGTTTTATTTTTGTAACTTCCTGTAAACCCGGAAGTCTTTTATTTTGAAGGACATGAATGTATGTTTTAGTAGTTAGCTTGATGGAAAACAGACAACGGCAAAAAACTAGAAAATAGCGTGGTGCAATATCAAAACACACATAAATAAAAGGTTAAAGATTTAGCACCAGTTGAGAAGGAGGTATGGGATAAATCTTGTGTCAGCAGGAACTGAATTTGAATTGTTCAGATTGAATCTGAATGTTCATAATTTGAAACTGAATGCATTGGTTTGACAATAAATCTAACAAAATTGAAACTGAATTTAAAGTTTTGTATTTAAATTTATTTGCTTTGAAACTGTATCAATATGTGATCCATGACGTGATGTAAATGTAACATTTTCTACATATGGGTCAAATTAATCACTGCAATAAAATAACTTTGTGTGTTTTTGTCACTTTTACAGTG